TACACACACACAAACACTCAAACTGAAACAAACTCGAAATGAATTGCAATTCATTTCATCCTGCCTCTTGCCTCTTTATACTGGATAAACAGGTACGCGAGGAGGTATTCACAACGTAAATCTCTTCCGTTGACGCATCGATGTTTTTTAACACAAATGTGTCCCGACATTATGGAATCAGACGCTCGTCACTTTTTGGATACTTATAGCTATTAGCATCCCCGTAAAGTATGTTCATTTGTCTTGCTTTCGATTTAGAAATACCTGTCTATTTCTAATAGAAGTCAAAATATTTGTGATTGAAGGAAGAAGATATGAGTCGCCTGGTAAAGGAGGTAATGTTAGCTAGAAAATGGCCGCCAAAATGTTAAGTTTAAGTAAGTGTTTTACGGCACTTGCAACACAATAAGGTCATAGAAGTGCCAAAGATTAGAGGTGCTACAAGAGAGTAACAAACACAAAAAAGAAGGAGGGGAGAAAAGTATGATAGATGTTTGATAGGAAAGAAGAAGCAAACCACACCAGAGCACCCGCCAACCACCCACCAGCCAAAATGTGGTGACAACTAAAGATTGGGAGTCCTTGAAAACGCAAATCTATATATTTTGAGTGACTTTGATCAACTTTTTTTGTGAAATCCACACAGAAATGTGCTTTTTAAATGGACATATAAGGTGTTGGACCAAAAGAAAAAGAATTAAAAAATTAAGAGTGTCCAACAGGCAGAGAAACGAATAATATTTCTTCTATTATATTGTATTTTCGAGAACCTGATTTCATCGCAATGCCTCACAAATAATATGACGCAGGTACGCTGTCCCACATCCGCCTTTTTGACACTACGCACATTACTTCATTTGCCTGTGTCTCGGTTTTATAGAGGTTACAGGTATAGGGCTTTAGGTGAGGCACACAAATATCTTGTATATATCCATAAAAATGGCAGACGCAAACAAGCGCAAATAGACACGGAGAAACACACACACACACACACACACACACACACACACACACACACACACACACACATACACATACACATATACAAAGTTCAAAAAAGGAATTAATTTATCATAATAGATGGGAAGATTTAGAATTCAAACAAGATTCTCGGGGGCTGTTGTGGCCTAGAGGTTCAAGTTTCTCATTCAAAGGTCCCGGGTTCGAATCCGGGTAGCGACCAAATAATGTTCTTATCTAAAATTGTCTCCTTTCACCTTCTTTCCTGCTCTCTAGCAATGTTGTGTTGTCTGCTTTCGTCTCCTCTTTCTGCCCCTGCCCCCTCCCCTCATTTGCCCCTCCTCTGGGCTCCTGACTCTTTCTACAGCCTTTCCACTGCTTCTCCTTGGCTCCTTCTTACTGCTGTCTTTCAGCCACACCCCTTATCTTCTGGTAGGAGAGATCTACACGTCTAAGCCTTCTCGGGTCTCGGACAAGGGCGAAAAATCTCGGAGGGCTCGTGTGCAAGTTGTGCACGTAAAAGATCCCTTGGTGGTCTAAAATCGATAAGAGTAGGCTTCGGCCACCACCCGGGCAAAATTCAAAATTTTCTACCTACTGAAAATGTTGCGGCTGTCCTGCGCGCTCATATGACGTAACGTCGTTGCGAGCGCCGTCAAATACTTACCAAAAAAAAAACCCAAAAAAAACCCAACAACATTCTCTTTTCTAAGAAGCCTCTTATTTTTTTTTAACAAAGTTAAAATATATCGAGACGTCCTTACAAAACCCTTTGATAGAGTTCACTTGCCTATTATCATTTGTTGTCTAAATTCCACCATTATCTGGACTAACCTTACATCATTTTCAGCATGTCCCGGGTGTTCCCACGTTCTTTTTTATTTCGTTATTTTCGGTGTTAATATTTTGTTTTCATTCATGTCGTTGGTTTTACGCCCCCATTGAAACAGTTTAAACAGTTTAGTTCATTTAGGAGGTGGGCTCCGATCCTGACAGTCAGGCTGAAAGAAATACACGTCCGGGTATGTCCCAACAGAAAGACAGATAATATTCGATAAAATTCTCCCCACTCTTAAACAGAACTCGGGTCTCCTGTATCATGTTTACTGGTCAGTCTCAAAGTATACTGGCATTTTAGAAAATAATGTCTGTCTTTTTCACTACATAAATCATAATGTATCACAATATTTTAAACACCCCCTCCCACCAACCCCATCCCCCCACTGCTTTCGTATTGGGAGGGGGGGGGGTTGTTATATATATATTGAAACCATATCTACTTTATCATAAGTCGTTGTTGTTGTTGTGGTCATTTTGTTTTGTGTTTTTTGTGTTGTTGTTGTTGTTTTGTTTTGTTTTATGTTGTTGTTTTTTTTTTGTTGTTTTTTTTGTTGTTTGTTTGTTTTGTTTTTTGTTGTTGCTGGGTTGTTGTTGTTTTGTTTTGGGGTTTTTTTGGGGGGCTCGGACGTAAAGTAACATGAAATGAAACACCGTGACAATGGCGTATAAAACAAAGTATTCTGATCTCATAAATCTGCGTTAGAAGAGCGGAGACTTCAGCTGCTTGAATCTGTTCCCACTATGTCCAATTGGAAAAATAAGTAACTCGAGCCAAGTTGAATTGTCTCACTCCTTGCTGTATTTTGTACAACATCTCCCAATGCTTAAGTAATTTAATTCATCTATAAGTCTTTTGTAAAATTCAGCGTAAATGTTTTTCAATAAAACGTTTTTAAAACGGCGGAGGAGTTGTTTTTTTTAAAACAATGATTCAACTTTTATTTAGTCACCACAACTTAATTTCAAAATAAATCAAATAAGTAGGCCTAATTAAAAAGACAGGTACAAAATCAGAATTATTTTTTTAAAGAGAAAAGATAAGTACCGCCACTTCTTCCTCCGTCATATTGAGCCTTTGGGTTCAGGAGATTTTTCCTCCTGAGAAGTGACCAGAGTAGAGAACACGCACAAAATCCTTCAACAAAGAGAAGAAAAAAAGGTAAGTCCCACGTCTCCCGTGGGTTGTACAGTCCCAACAGGTCCAATTGGGATCTGGACAGAAATCTGAGAGTATTCCTGGTCCGAGTCAGCCCCGTAACAATTCGCCTTCTATTTATATTATGCACGCACAGCCCCCGTGGAGATCAGACTCCTCAAAGGATAATTTATGTACGAGGAAACACTGAGGCAAAACCAGTCTAGACTTTCCCCTCCATTCGCTGCTTGGTTCCGGTCCAGATCTTTCGTCGCATTTTGTGTTTCTGTGACGTGCTCTCTCTCTCTCTCTCTCTCTCTCTCTC